TCACCCCAACTGAGGTGAATCTGTAAAACTCGCGGGTGGTTATGTAAATTCTTTGGAAGATCGTTATTGCGAAGGTATTTTTTGAAGATTTTTCATAGGTAGATAGCTAAGGGTCTCAATTACATGATTGCACAAATCGCGCACAAAAATCTTCAAAATCAAAAAAGTTCTTCGATAAATACTGAGGAGCTCGACAAAATTTTACATAATCGCTCCACTTCACTCTATTTAAAAGAACGGGAGAAAATGCAAATCATTCGCACCTTTCTACTGTTGAATATCGGTATCACACTTTTACACGTAGGCACAAAAATGTAGGAAAAAATGGTATTATGACTTTTACTAATGTGTAAATGATCTTGTAAGAGCGGAGAAGGGTATGCACAACTCTTATAAACTACTTATGTCACAGAAAACACCTTGGAGAATTGAATAGTCTAACTGTTAAACCACGAATGAGAAATCGACGTGATATACCCATTTTCTTTTCCAAAGGTTCTTTCACCATAAGGGAAAGTTTCAAGTTATGAAATATTTCATTATATAATAATTTCTTCTTTATGCTTGATAGTCATATAGTATTGCCACGAAAGTTATAATTACACATTGTTTTCTCTGATAAAGGCTAAAAACGTATAATCATTAGTAGACCCTTTTGCTTTGAGATATGTATTAGACTATGTGAAAAAGAATTAGTTTTAATTGTCACATAATCCATATTCATTGACTATTTCAACAGTCTCATCATGCTTGTTTACTTGATGTTTATCAGTACAATCGGAAGAGATTATTCGACTGGTTGTTTTCACTTGTTCTAACGATAATTTCACAACGTAGACGTTTGTAAAGTTTTAAAAATTTCAGAAAAATATTTTCGAACGTTCTACATCTATCTAAAAGTTTGTCAGATACAATTAAAAATTTCTACATTAATAATTCAAATACATAGAAAAAGAATTCTAACTCTGATTCTAACTGTCTTTTCGCGATTAATATCATTTACAAATGTATTTAATAAACTACACATGCATTTAGTATTGACAGAAAAATAAATAAAAAATTTTAAAAAGTACAACGTATTGCGTGAGAGTTGAGATATTTAATGTACTCTTTTAGCGAATTACTGAAGTTTTTTGTATACCAAAAAAAGTAAGTCTTACATAGTTGATCTCATTTCCGCTTCCACGCATTCGGATAAGTTTGCACGAATTCATTTTAACAATAAGAAAAAAGAATACATTCTTACCTTTTTTGTTAAGTATTCTTAGTTTTTTAAATCCTAGACGTAAATGATAAAACTGACAAAATTTCCAAAGTACTAAACTGGCTCGAATTATCAGCTCCTTAGGAATCTCATGTTTCTGTTAAGATCTAACATCACAACGTTAATTACAGTAGAGAGATAAAAAATGAAAGATTTCTACTTTACAGCATAGCAAAATAATCATCTTAGAACTTTAACTTGCAGCCTTTAAGGAAAGAATAAGAAAGGTAAGAGAATACAATCAATTCTATATAACAGAAGTTTATATATTATTTTTTCTTCTCCATTTTTCTCTTTTTTTTTATTACATCGCTTAATCTCATTAATAAAATAGAAAGAATATAGAGTTAATGATTATTTCAACTAACATAACAGAGTGATTGACGAGAATAATTAAACTATCCATCATGAACTGTATTAATATATCTTCGTCAATTAAAATTTTATTTTTCTGCTTTGCTCTGCCACTGTAATCGTCTAGCAATTGTAGAATAGCATAATAATAATTGAGGTCCGTTATTGAGTCAAAAGTAGTTCTCTAGAATGTGAAAAAAGTTGAGAGATTGTTAATTAATTCACTTTTATGGTAGTACGTGACTGAAACATCATTTGTTGTAAACACAAGCAGAAGTTAAAAATATACCTGAGCAAAGATCGTTCACTCATTAAATGTTGTCGATCAGCATCCTTTTTAAAACACGAAAATCAGATCAAATTACGTGTATATGTATTTTTTTAAAAAGACATTATACGCTCGCTAGTAACATTAAAAATACGTCGCTTTGTTGGCAAAGATCCGATGGAGATGAAATTTTCACCCGAGATAGAATATCAAAGACAAAAAATCGATGTAGTTTTTGAAATTTTCTGGAAAATGTTAAACTTTATTGAAGTATACTACGAGCGCTTGAAGATTTCATATGATGGGGCCAACAATTGTATCACAGATATTTGGACGCTACCTCAGAATGCAAATTCGTTTTTTTTTTCATTTCTAATTTTTCTTTCGTAAGATATATAAAAAGGAGACTATAAATTCTGGATGAAACCTCGTTTTTCAATGTTAAAAATCCTATAACTTAGAAAGAAGATATCAAAAATGGAACAAATTATTGTTCTGAAATATCGTCGAGGTATCTTTGATAGAAGTTTGACCCCCAATCAGTTGAGGTTTTCAGGGAGTTGAAATGTATATTAATTGAACTACCAGAGCATTACAGATCACTTCTTCCAGAACATTTGCGATAATACTATGCAAAAAACCACTGAATAATTTTGAACAACATCTCATTGTACAGAGAACACTTTACTCTCTTGGACTATGCATAAGCAGGCCCCGGAAAAGGGCGAATAATTTACGAAACTAAAAAGTTGCGTTTTATTAATTGTTTAGTCACAAACTTAATTTTTATAATTTTGCAGAAGAGGGCGTGACATGCTGGGAGTGAGGTAATTTTTTATCTTGTTTTTTCCTCTATATTAGACCATGTGTAATTCTACATAAAAAGTTTTTTCAATAAAAAAGAAGACTGCCCTTAAGCAGATTTAAAAAGAAGTTGAAGAAGGAGAAAACATATGTCAGTTCGTGTCACTAGTTAGTAACATGCCATTTCATTAGGATAAATTTAACAAAAATCTAATAATATCATACGACTTGCGTTATTTAAGTCATTTTTCCGTCGATATGCATCTCTTCTCAACTGGAAACATCACAAATTATTAGAAAATTGCATGTTTGAAGAAAATACAGAATAAACTCGATGTGTGATAGGTTTTTTTTTCGTTTAATAAAACTAAATAGTAATTACAATTAAGTGCTGTTTTTGTGAAACATGCGATACCTTAAGATGTGTACTTTGTACTATTCCTCAATTAGATATGATAGCATAATTGGCATTCAAAATAAAGAAGAAAAAGAGAGTACATAGCTTTATGTAAATAAATTAATAAAAATAAATTAATAGAATCATAATTTATTATGGTTAAATTAATCTACATCATACAGCAAGCAGTAATATCTCATAATATCTGATAATCAAATTCTAATTCAACAATGACAACATAGAACGTATTTTACTCTTACCATTTCTGAAGATTAGAGAATTGTGAATTCTAAAGAGTCCTTTGTAGACAACAATGTCACAAACAACGATTTTATGCTTCTTTATCGAAGGATTTGAGTCAGTTTTCGGATATAGGGAACCTGTAAATAACTATAAATGAACCATATTCTTTTCAAAAGAATCCTAATGAGTGATTACTAAAGTGTCAGAAAAAGTCACTATAACAGCGGTGATAGTGATGGCACGACTTGGGAGCACAAACTGAATTAGAATTTGTGAAAATTATAAACCTACCGAAAAACACGTGGAATTCACGCACGAAAATAAGGAGGATTTTTTGCGTGGATATCGTCTGTGATATCTACAAGTGTGAGTATACTCTTGATGCATTATCAGAGTTGCAGTTCTTACACTACAAATCTAGCAATGAACTGTCATCTATATTGTTTTTTAAGATATTTGTGCGCTAATGGAATAAGGAGTATCTAAGCAAAAAGTGTTTATTACAAGTTAATTTCTAAAATGCATGACTTTAAGTGATTTCTTTTGTTCTAAATATTATTTGATTATTGCTGAAAATACTTAACTATTTATCGTGAATGAAATATCATGATTCAAAATTATATAATTGATATTCATCCGGAAAAACTTAATACATCGTCTCAGTTTCTACGACTCGTTGAACGTATTCGAACACATCTACACAATAGAGAAGCTCGTTCATGTCTAATGTTACCAACAAATGATATGAAAAATGAACACAGATTAAAAAACTATACATTCATACAATGGTCAGAATATTTAAAACGACGAATAGAACATGATGATCTAACTAGAAAAGCATTGTTTCGATTTTATTCAACTATTCAAGCATTTTTAACCGAAGAGGAAGGAAGAATAACTGCTTCAGGTATGAGGAGAAAAGAGAAAAGTATATCTAGCTTTGCGATCGATAGTCAGTCATTTTTTATTCTGAAAAATGCATTAAACAGTTTTTTATTTGATCTGAAATTACAGATTTTTCTAGCTAATAAAGTTAACAGAGCGCTTATTTTAGTAATTAAATGTTTTTCTGAAAATCGTTGTTATACCGATGCAGTCATGAATTTATTTTATTTCAGGAATTGGATTTGGCACAGATTCATTAACTAATACTGGCGATCCAATATTTCATTCAGTAATGACTGTCGGATCGAGTGAATCTATAAGATCAGTGGGAATTTTAAAAGACAGTACAGAGCTAATACAGAGTACATCAAACCTCTTGATTCAATCCCAACAATCTAGTGGTGCAATAGAATCAACATTATACAGAGATTCTGGATTATTAACACGAGCTACGCTAAAAGCGTTATTAAAAGAGCCACGGCAACGCAACTCAGCCGATATACTTGCTCTACAACAACTATTAAGTCGATGTGAAAGTACAAGACGTTATTCAGTCAGCGTTAGATCATACATAGGTAAAGGAGCTGCAATTGATGATCATAGGAGAGAAATCGATTAATATAGTTCTATTTATTGGTTTAGCTCGTTCATTGTTATTACTGAATTATCATCCCGAAACAATAATTTCCAGACAAGGTCTACCATCGTTTATTGTGTACATAATTGTATATGGTATGTGTCTGAAACATAATTTCATTCATATTATATATCCAAAGATGACTGTTCATTTGCTCATGCGAACACATTTTAAAAACAATGTCTTTTAGGTCAATGTCAATTATTATTGGAAACGTCAAAAACAACTGTACTTGGAAAACAATTAAATATTGGTGAGTTTTTCAATCAATTTTTTTTATACATTGTCTCTATAGGAAACCTTTCATATTTATGTTAGGTGACGTTTTTGGCGATGAATCATTACATTCAATCGATCAACGTCTTAATGGTCTAATAACAACGAACCATACTAGTTTTGTGGTATTTTTTCCACGTACGTCGTACATTGTCTTGACCTGACTGTGGATGTCACTTTATCTTTACTTTACCAAAAGTAAATGATAAATGATTCGTTTACTTTACTTTTCCTGCAAAAGAGTAAAGTAAGTGATGTGAAATTTCTAACGAGTACAAAAAAAGCATTTACTAATGTTCTAGTTGAGATGGAGTAGTTAGTTGAATAAGTACAGTCGTATATAAGCATGAGACAACACATTTTGTGGAATACTAATTATGTAAAGCCGATTTTACTCACTCAACATCTCACAATTATTTCTTAGGAGAGATAATGATTTTTAGTAAACTTGAAAGAGAGCATATCTGAGAAAATTTAATTTTGGATGAAATCATCTATCATCTGATCAATTCTATTTTGCTGAAGTTAGTTTATGCATTTTCTCTTCAGCGAAATTTGCTGGAGAATAATGCTGAAAATATCGAATTCGTTATTGTGTGCTAACGATTGTATATACACTCTGACAAAAAATCAACTTCAAACATCGTGCATTTTCTATGTTCCAGGCTATCACTTTTCCGTACTTTTACCACTATTTTAGACCATTTTTTATCTGACTGATATTGTATACTAAAACATGAAAAGGAGAAAGAGTATTATTTTAATGATATGTTTTATATGTGCTATGGTTAGTGCTGGAAACGAGGAATTTTACTCATGAAACCATATCTAGGCAATAAGTAGATGTATATGACTCAAGATTATGAGAACATTAATAAACGCTTTTCTGTGCTCGTTAAAAATTTCATTTACTTTGCTTTTTACAGGAAAACTGATATAAACGAATCATTTACCATTCACTTCTGGAAAAGTAAATATTCATTTACCGTTAACGTAGAAAAAGCAAATGATTTCTATATAATTTACCATTTAACATTTGGAAATAATTAATTTACTGTCTAAGGAATAGTAAAGGATAGGAAAAGTAAATGAAACATCCCTAGATGTATGATACGATGTGATTTTTTTATTCGTGTAGGTGATATAAAAGCGTATGATTGTTATTTGTCTGATATGATGAAAAAATCTTTGTTAGATCGATTACAAACTGAATCAACATTTATTGCTATTCAATGGCGTCAAGATATATTAAATTATTTTTTACGTTGGTCAAAATATAAACAATATTCTGTTAATGAACCTATCTATGGAAACGAGAGCAATAAACATCCCGATCTTTATTTTATTGTTCAAGGACAAGTGTCATTCATTCGAATTATAGAATTGCCATTAATCCTATTGAAACATCCAGAATTCAGTACCAGTATATTAAGAGATTGGGATCGAGATATCAAAAGTCGAACATCCCAACAAAAAAGTGTTCTCTCGACAAAGTCAAGACTGATAGAAGGTAAAAATATTGAAGACTTTCTGAGTTAATAATACGAACTTGTTGTTAAAGGATGATACAATTTTCATTTTAGATATTACAATGAGAGCCTTTTTGAATATTTGACACTGTTTTTCTTCTTTTTAGAAGAAAAAAAGGAACGTGCTCACTTAACTGATATCGTCGGGAAAAGTCAGAGTGATGACTCGCCAATGAGTCGAGTGAATCGTGATTCAAACGATACTCAACATATACCTCAACCATCAACATCCCGAACTAATATATCCATCAAATCTTTAAGAGCAGTATTGACAGGAAATACACTTTATAAAGAGAAGAATTCAACAACTAACAATGGCGTTGATAATAAAAATATGTCTAAGAGTTCTGCATTAACATTAAGTGTAATGGGTAATGGATGGAGCGACAGTCTATTCCCATATACGGTTAGAAGTAAGATGCGAAAAGAAATGCCGCTTAAAACGAAACTAATACTTGTGGCATACGTTTCTTTCATCACGGTTTGAATACTCCAGACGTTCAGTCTTTTTCTTCAACTCAGAAGCAAGCAGAGTACACGGAGATGAAATACTTTCGTGAGCAGCCTTCTTTTGTTCTTTACAAGGAAGATGAAGATAAACTGTCATTAGTAAGCCAAGAATTACCAGAGAAAGGCTCAATATCGTTGAGACCGAAGAAAAAAAATTGGCGTACTGTTTGGCAGTTTTTAGAAATATTTGTATTGTCGCACGGCCATTATTTTGGATTTGAAACTGATACACAACAAGCATGGTATTTAGCACGCACTACAGTCGATTTGATTTCAAGTACGTAAGTGAACCTTTTATAGCCTGTCAAAATCCGTTATAAGTTCTGTCTATAAATTTTTAAATAATCGACTCATATTACTTCAAAATGCATCAACCTGCATCGTTCTGTTGCTGATTTTAGTACCGAAACATCGATTTGAGGTACGTATTCTAGCGTGCGTGGATCATAGTTTATTCTTTAGAAAGTGTTCTGCATTGATCAAACAGGAGCTGGGTGACTTTGCTCCGATGGTTTATGATAAAATTCGTCAAGATTTTATTGATATAATGTCCGATGTGACAAGAGCAAAACATGAGTATATAAAAAAATTGAAAGTAAATAAATTAAGTGAGACAAATTCAAAACATAATAGTATCAGAACTCGTTCCTGTGAATCAACACCTCACAAATCAACAATGGCAATTATATCTGCGACGAGAGACAGTAATGAAGAACAACACAATGTAGTACCCGGACGACGTGAATTAGGTCAATATAAAGAAAATATACATTTGATGGATACGTCTCATTGTGGAACTTTAACATCACTTACCTTACAAAAACACACAAGAAAAAAAAGTCGAGAAACCAACTTATTCGAAAATTTTGAAAAGACTTGTAACATCAAATGATGATAGTATATCATATAGAGAACAGCACAATCGCAAGTATTTATCATCTTTTTATTAGAAGGTATTAACAAACATGCAGCATAGTTGAAACTTATGTTTCCATGCATGGCTGAGATTCATTGACAGAAATGAAAAGTAGTTCTATGGTTCTCAGGAAAACTTCTCCCCCTGCGTAACCATGAGAGATAAAGCGCTCGCTTTGGTTCTGTTTTGTAGAGGACGGTTTAGTCTATCTATTTATGGAAAAAAACAATATATCACTATGTCAAATTTTCCAGTTAGGAAACGGTTTTACACAGATCTCCTTAAAAGCCAACTGTTGAAAAAAGTTTCTGAATGTTTTCTGCTTACGAAAACATGCTCTTAATTCTTGGCTACCGAATAGCGAAAACCGCAAATCTTCATCTACTTTCGCCCAACAACTATTCAAAACCATAAGTTTTTGAAATAATCTTACATCTTTTTTATATCCATTGGCAAATGTTTTTTTGGTTTATGTCGACATAAACCAGAGGATATCTCTTTTATCGCGAAATCTACATCCAGCGCCATGCTCTGTGGTTCAAGTTGTTGAGTTAAGTCGACATAAATCAGAGGATAAGTATTCTATGGGTTATGTCGACATAAACCAGAGTCCTTTGATTTATATCGACATAATCCAAAAAATATTTGCCAAAGAATATAATTAATCCTTTAAAGCCCAATGCCCATCTAAATGGACATTGACATTATAATTATAAGAAATTGAGGAAGTATTGTTTGAAAAAACGAACCTTATATCAGTGGTAGACAATTAAATTGGCTATCGAACGATAAAAAGAATATTTTGTTTGTGTTTTATGCTAGTCGAAATATTTAAATTTTAAAATGAAGAATATTTCGAAAAAATTAATTTTTTTTACTTTAATATTTTTGGGGGAAGCTTTTTTTACTCAATAACTTTTCTAAAATATGTAGGGAGGTGTGCCCTTTTAAATTATGTCCGCTGGAGAAATTATTGTTTAAACTGTTGGGCTGCCATGGTACAAAACGAAAGATCATATTTTGCTGGGATTTTGGACTCGTTTTCTTGGCAATTCTTGATTTTCTTCACCATCTAAGTTCACTTTCTCTCTTAACTTTCTCAAACTTAGTGGTCTAAGGTTAGATATATTTGGTCTTTGGTTTCTAACGAGAATTTTGGAAAAAATACTTTTTTTAAATTTTGACTTTAAATCTAAATTATAAAAACTTTTTTAAAACGAAAAGTAATCTTTTTTGAGCATAAGAAAGTCATATCGAGGTCTCATATGTTCCATTTTTGAAAGTGGTTGATTCAAAACCAACCATTAAAGTCTTGGGGACTTAAAGGGTTAAAAAGATGTAAAATTATTTCCAAAAACTTATGGTTTAAGGCAATCTGAAGCAGAGACATTTTATTAGTGGTTAGTTAAATCTATTCGAAAACTAGAGTTAAAACCTAGCTTAAACGCACAAATCATCCAAAGTTTGGATTCCAAACTGTGGTTTAAAAAAGATTTCCAAAGTAATTTCTTGAAGAAAAGATGCATGTTGAGTTTTTTTTATTTATTAATATGTAGTACCTGAACGTATCTGAAACCGTCAACTTTTATCTAGCAGGAAGAAGTTAAGATTTAGCGTGGAAAGATCGGAAGCGGTTGGCTCGCTTCATTTTTGTGACAGTTTAATCACCGGATGAAAAGAGGCCAAATTAACGACATCGATTAAATTTTAGACGATCGATCCGATACCGTTAATATTTAAAATGAATTATAAAACTAAAGATCTTTTGAACTGTGTAAATGAGTCGGCAAAATTAGAGAAGCTTCTCAGTACAGTCACAGTTGATGCTCTCTATGTTTTATAATCAAGCGTGAACTCACAAACAACAAGGTAATTTTTACAACTATTTTCGGCGATACTTATCTCTCTGCTATATTTGACGTGTGGAAATTCGATAATTTCAAATGGAAAAACTATGGGACAAAAACATTGAAAACTGATGACATTCTGATTTTCAAAACTCATTATTATGTCTTGGAAAATGAATCAAACAAAAATTTACCATGGAATGAAAAATTTCAAAAAAAGATTGCTATCTTGATCAAGGATCCGAGCATTGCTGTCGTCTATTGCACTGCTGAGTGAGGCATAGTGGAGAATTTTCACTAGATACGTGGACATTAGGTTTTCCCGCGAGGTGAGTTTCTGGAAAACCCTTTTGTGCGGAAAATACACGATAACCCCTTTTATAGGTTATTTCACACGCTGATTTTAATAAGACTGAGTAAAAACTCGTCACTATTCTGCCTAGAGCCACCAAAAAATGCTCTGGTCCACCTCTTGGCTCTTTTTTTGTTTCGTATTAGCCAAGTCCCTAAGCTGCTGTACATTCTAGAGTGGCAATTCGTTTCAGCGGTCTTTTGCGAATATTGTTAACATAATTTTTCCTGAAGTCTAACGTCATTGTGGCCGGTAGTGCACGAAAAATGCCCTGAAAAGTTTTTTAGAGCGTTTTCAGAGCACCGCACTAAGCACCACAACGATTACAAATTTTCTACTACGATACTATTGAAAGACACAACATTTGATGCAGTCTTTTGCGCTGATTCCGAATCTTACCTTACTTTTCAATAAAAGTGTTTCCGGAGTGAAAACCACGGAAACTAAGTGGAAAACCGAGGTGTTTTTCGAAAATTTACAACTCCGTCCTGTATTGTCCGCGCTAATTCGCGCTAACAGTGTCGATGTAGTATATATAGATCAGTATTCTACGAAAATTTTATCGAGTTTGGACTTTCGGAAAATTTCGGAAACTCACTATACTGAGGACCGCTCTTCTGAAAACACTTAGCGGAAAAAGAAAAAGCATTTTTCCATACAAGAAAGATTAAGAAGGCAAATTTTTTTATGAGTCGATAGTCTGAAAGTTCTAGTTTCAGAATATATCCAATTCATAACTCAATGTCTTCTGCTTTGTGCACGACAAGATCGTTTTTATAGCACCAAGATTTTTGAGCTAAATTTTGGAAATGCGTTATCTCACTAACTGTGACACTTAGATTGTTACAGAATCAGCGTTTTTGCTTAGACATACTTGTGATTCGCTGTAACGATAAATATGTTTATATAAATGTTTTATAAATAGAATGCTTATACATGATTTATAGATATAAGGATGAGGTGGGGTTTAACCCGCTAAGAGATATTAAGAGTGACTGGTATCATGATGCATAGAATTGCTTCAAACTTCAGGACATTTAAGGCTTTCTCGACTTTATCAATTTTTTCTCGATGCTTATCACCAGAAAAAAAAATAAAGTTGATTTTGAGTTGCTGAAAAGTGTTTCTTCACATTCAGCACACTACATAACGCAGCAGATTTTTTATTTTTGGCGAAGGGTACTTCCAAAACTTTAGGAAAATATTTTAGCTAATATTATTTTCCCATGGAAATCTTTTAGCGCTATTTTGTTTCAAAGTTTTTCCTAAACTTTTGGAAGTACCTCTCTCCAAACGTAGAAAATCTACTGGGTTATCGAGTGTGCTGAATATGAGAAAGCACTTTTCTATAAATAAATATTACCACGAGTCTCAGCATGGTCGATTACCCACAGTTCATCCGTCTGCAGGGTGTGACAATAGAATTTTGCCACAGTCAAGATAGCTTCTGACGGCTGAACTTTTGAGTCACTTTGAGTCATTTTTTCGCCCATCTCTGTTTTCTAGTATTTTAGCGAGAGCTTTTTCTACCATATTTTCGCGCATTTAATTATGGATGTCACTCAATAAGACAAAACCGTTGGATGACATCGCATTTGAATTCCAATTAGTACCAATGTTTTGTTGGTTTTTAAGATCACTTGCTGGCTACTCATGATCTTTTCTAAATCAAACATCAAACCATGATCGATAGACTGAAAAAACTGCTTTATTCTTTTGACATTTACTTCAGTGCGGTTGCCCGATTATTCATATCTAAATTATCGATCAACAGACTCAATGATGAATTCAGATCAGAATTTAACGGTTTTACATTTGTTGTTGCTGTTGATGATATTTTGCTAGTCGAAAATAATGGTATATTTGATTTCGCCTGAGTCATTGTAGAAGATACATTCGTTGATTGAAGGATAACATCAAAAAAATTTGCTAAATTAGATATCATCTTTAACAGGTGATCTATGTTTAATGGCATCTCCTAGGTTTTCAACCACCGCAAACATCATCTCTCTTCAATTCAACTTCAATGACAGCATCTATGCAACAATTTCCATTTGACCATTTCCACAACAACAACGACTATTCGACTCAACAACATCAAGAGGTCAGTTTATTTAATTGCTGTATTTATCGAAGATTACACTAACTAGCTGCAATGCAGACTGGTAAAGGACGAGTACTGTGGAATCAAATAGATATAAGATGGATATAGAACCAAAGTATGGTGCATTAGGTAGAAATAGGAGTCATTAGGTTTGGATTGAGGTACTTCAAGAAGCATTTCGAGATGTTTCTCGCAGGTGCGTTTTATATATTTTTGCCTTCATCTTGTACTGTTACGCTTGTTTCTGTTTTGTTTTTGTTTTATTTTGGCAATTAATTCAAGAGATGTTACATTAAAACTTTCAACAAAAGCGTTAACATGGAAACAAGAACAAAACCATATTGCCAGGAAAACAAAAAAAGTGCTTAGCATCTAAAAGAGTTTTGCTACCTTTACACTACTTGAATCATATGTGCAGATGTTGATGCAAACGAGTTTTGAAGTCTTTTGATGGTGGGAGAGCCCAGTACAGCCACAGGTAGGGTTGTATTCCACTTACGAGTAGTTTTGTAAAAACTGCTGAGGATAGTCTGAGTTGAAGGAACCTCGGCTTGAGGTTGATGTAGAGTGTTACAATTCGATTGCCTGTTCAGGTTATGTCTGTGTGCCAAATCTAAAGAGACGGGTGAATCCTTTAAAAATTTTGAAAAAGAGAACGAGCTGGAAATATTTACGTCTCACCGAAAGTAGAGAAAGGCTTAATTTGTTCACTAGATCAGATCCTGCACCATTACAGTCCCATGTGCTCATATAGGCCGCTAAGCGTTGAACGGATTCTGGATGGGTATTGTTGTTTGCAAACTCACTATCATGTAATGCATATGCATAGTCCATCTTACTCAAAATGCAAGTTTTATAGATTTGAAGCCAGACGTGAGCAGATGCTTCTTTAAATTGGCGATACATCGCTCCAGGACGTTGTCTGCAAGGCAAAGCGAGGTCTTCTACGTGCTGAACCCACCTCAAGTTGTAACTTATCTTGAGACCTAACATGGTTCGATGCATAGCTCGATTCATTACGGTTCCTTGACTTAAAGTAAACTGGTAATTGTTAGCTTTTTCTGGACTACTGAAGACAAACATCTAAGAGCATTTCGAGACGTTGTGTGACATTAAGTTACCTAAACACCAATTATTAATGCGATCTATGTTAGCCTGGCAGTCGGAGAACGAATGTGCGACAGAAATGGGATAAATCAACGTGCAGTCGTCAGCAAAGAGGATAGAATCAGTCGGTAATAGTACCGTTGACGGTAGTTCACCTAATGAAAATTAAGAATAGGAGGGTCCTAGAATTGAGCCCTGAGGTACCCCAGCAGTTACTCGACAGAATTTAGAAAGTGAAATGCCCACTCTCACTTTCTGCCTTCGATTACTTAAGTACTAGAGAATCATTCAAGAGCACAAGTGGAAAGCCATAAAGAGGACAATCGATGACGTAGTTTAAACTTTATTATTCAAGAGAGAGAAATAAGAATAGTCACTTTACACAGATGCCGCCTAGGCCATTATATCAGAGGAAAATGACATGGTAAATGTTATAAGCTATTACAGGAACGATGTAGTATCTGGAATGATAATCTATTGAATGCTTTTTCGAAGTCCAACGTCACTAAAATCCGTTTTATCCTTCTTTAGAACACTTTTAACTACCTTACGCCACTTTTTAAAATTCTCTGTAGACGCTAGCGAATTATGATTGCGCTTTTTAGATTCAATTTATTACGTATACGTAATACATGATAGTAACCACGACTGTATTTAAAAGTGATGGGTTTTAGTTTTAGTTTTTTCCATGATACATGATGATCAACACAGGATGGAATATGGGCAGACCAGATTTCCTTTATTGTATGTACTGTTGTCGAGGAAGGAGGGATCAATGTTTGCTATATCTGCGAGTAGAACAGCTCAAGATACTTCACTCATTTTACGTGTTTATAGAAGAAATTAATCCTGTTTTTTGTTTTGTGTTTAATGTCTTGATTGAAATAATGAGAATTGGACGTGGCAGATTATGAAAAGTAAGTAGAGCATCATTACGAAGAGAAGTAGGATATAGGATGTAGAACTAGATGGAAAGAAAAGCAGTTTAGAACGTTATTTCTGAGAAAAACAAATTCGAAAGAAAATAACAAAAGGATGAAATAAAAATACTTTTTCAAAGGAACTGTCCCATCTTTTTGTCAAGATATTTTTGGATGATTTTGAATAGGTAAATGTTCATAACGTGCAAATTCACTTCGATCAATTTTACGCACGGATAAATTTTGACTTTGTCTCCACCGATGCGTAACATATAATTCATCTACAACATATCTAATTAAATATTTTTCACATTGATGCATTGATACATCACCATCATGATATTCATCTTTTATTCGAGCATTAAATACTCCTGAATGGAATATCAATTTACCTTGTCTTAATGCAAAACCGCCGCCGACAAATTTTTCGTCTGCTTCCTCATCAAAAAACCATTTAAATAGTTTTCCATGTACTTGGCCTTGATTACTGTGTGTATGCTGAATATTTTTTGTTTCTTTTATTAAAATGTAACCCGTTGTACAATGTTTACCATTCAATCGAAAATCTGATTGACCATTGTATGAATATACGATCATACCAACTATATCTTTATCAGACTGATAAATATCGGAAAGACATGATAGATGAACAGATTCAATTTTTATTGTGGGCTTTTGTGGGTTTTGGGATGATTTTATTTCCAGTGGCATACCACGATTACCTAACAACATCATTCTCACTCCACGTGTTGGTATTGGTTGAACATCGATTATCATATTGTTTGTGAATGATAGATTATGCACTAAATCATTTACGGCTATTTCTTTATTATTTATACGAAATATATACTGATTGAGATCACCAATTGCGTTTGTTAGTATAGTTTTCAAGTCAGCACTGGGTTCTAATTGTAAAATATCTTCTTCATTATCTTTTTTGAATGATAAAATGAGTGTTATTAACATTATTCTTATTGCTGTACAAAAATGTTATGGATGTAACTAGAAGTATTGTTCTTATTTATTTAAATTGGTTTTTTTCCTTCCTCTAAATGCAGAACAAGCGAGTGAGAGAAAGAAAGAAAGAGAAAGAT